AAATGAGGACCCAGACTGTGGGGGCGATATGCCGACTTTGTAAACCGCTTAGAGATGGCTTAAAGCCCTATGAAGCGGTATATAAGTCTAACTGCTATTGCTATTGCTACTTCCTCTTCTCCTTCCTTCCTTCCTTCCTTCCTTCCTTCCTGTCTTTCCTTCCTCCCTCCCTCCCTCCCCCCACCTTCCTTCCTTCCCTTCCTATCTCCCTCCCTCCTTTGTCCGGATTTCCAAAGAAGAGGCTGCATTCTAGAGGAGCAAGAGATTGTGTAGTTCACTCTGTGTGAGAGAAAGAGCGCGAAGACAGCTCCTCCCTAATAGCTCCCAGGGTGTATGCCTTAGGGAGGATGTTAGCATGCTTTACTTTGGCAAGATTCTGTCTAACGGGTGAGGAACAATAAAGGAATCTGCTTAGGGGAATCGCAAAGCGTCTTTCTTGGTTTTTGGACCCTGGCGACCGCCCACAAAACCCCTAACCCCCTCCATCTTCTGCCGTACCTGCTTAACTGAGAGAGGGAGCTGTTGGCCAAGTCACTTGATGGAAGTGCCGCCGTGTGAGAAGGTGCTGAAGGCAAAAGCAGAGAGGTGGAAGCCGTGGTGCTCGGCAACGAAGGACCTTGGGCAGGTAGGGATGGAGGAGAGGTTTCCAGCTTTGACGTGGGAACGGACGAAGCAGCTGCAAAGTTAGAGAAACGGTATTCAGAGAAGAGCTGGAACTGCCCAAGCAAAGTTGTGGAAGTGAATTTTGTTTGGGCAACGGAGAGAGGAAGGCAAGAGGAAAAATGGAAGCACAGCCAATCATTTGTGCCAATAAGGACTTGGGTTTTTGGCTTTTTGTTTTAGAAGGTGTGTTTCTACTATAATAGGATTCAGGGGGTGGTATTCACTTACTGTATTTTTCGGAGTACAAGACGCACCAAGATTTTGAAGAGGTAAATTAAAAAACAAAAGTGTTTGTACTTTGCAGGCCTCCCAAACCCTCTGCAGGCCTCATTTTTTTGTGAAAAACAGGGCATGCAGAGACTTTGAGAGGCCTGCAAAGTCCTCCTGGGGGCTTGGGGAGGGGGGCAAGAATGAGCAAAAAACGACCCAGTTTTTGCTGAAAAAAAAGGGGCATGCATAGCCTTTAGAAGGCTTGTAGAGTGCTCCTGTGGGCTGGGGGAATAACGACTCTTTCCCGCTCATTTTTGCCCTCCCCAGCACCCAGGACCACTTTGCAGACCTCCCAAACCCTCTGCCCGTCCATTTTTGCAAAGGGGGCGGGGTTTCTGGAGGCCAAAAATGTTGCATTCAGCATATAAGACGCACCCAGATTTGCTGAGATTTCATCTACTTACTATCAAGAGCTGGCTGCATTCGAACACCGTTGTGTCCATTCTGAAAGTCAAAGCAAGGAATTAGTGTCGTTTTTAACCCTAAAATTAAAGCAAAAGCACAAAGCACATCAAAAAATTCCCCATGTGTTCAATGCAATTCCTCTCCCTAACATTTAATTACTGCTACACCTAATGTCCTGAAATATAACCGTGTTTTATGATGATTGAGCGTTTATCTTTGAGCAATGCTTTGAACAATAAACCAGCATTTATTTCTGGGTGGGCTTCATTCGTAAAACCGTCCTCTGGTGACCATGGATTGACTTAATGACTGCTGCATTCACTTAAACCATCATTGCAAAAAAAAAAGAAAAGAAAAAGGCATAATGATGTCTTGACAATTGTCACAATTTACGACCATAATGGGCAGGCTTCATTAGGGTGGCAACTCAAGGACTGTTCTGTAACAAGGAAAGGATTAAAAATTAACCTCCGGGGTAGAAAATATGGAATCCCCCCCCCCCGCCCCCCGGCACAATACTCAAGAGTGTTAAAACTTGGTTGACGCTCAAGATGGAGAGATCCGATTCGATCCGTTAAAAACAAAACGCCTTAACATCGCAAAACACAATTGTGGGTGTGAAGGAGGCTGCCAATTGAGAGGCAGGAGAGTAGTACTCGTAACTNGAAGGAAGGAAGGAAGGAAGGAAGGAAGGAAGGAAGGAAGGAAGGAAGGAAGGAGCAAGCTTTTTCAAAAGGCAACTGGACTTCCTTTGTTTTTCCTTGAAGACGTTTTGCTTCTCATCTAAGAAGCTTCTTCAGTTCTTGGATGAGAAGCAAAATGTTGGGATGGAGGAGAGAGAAAGAAAGAAAAAGAGAAAGAGGGAGAAAGAAAAATAGAGAAAAGACAGATAGAAAGAAAGAAGGAAGGAAGGAAGGAAAGTCCAGTTGCTTTTTGCAAAAAGCACCTGTGGAGCAATGATTTCATGCACACATTGAATAAAAGGAGCAGGTCCCTGAAGCACCCCACAGAGGGGGGGGGGGCTTAAGAGCAAACCAAAAGTGGAAAAATCTCCTTGAAATTTAGACAGCTGAGAGTACAGGCAATCCTCGACTTACGACCGCAAGTCAGCACAAACTTTCTGTTGCTAAGCAAGTTGTGCCCCGTTTTACAAACTTTCTTGCCACAGCTTTTTAAGTGAATCACTGCCGTTGTTAAATGAGTGACATGGTTGTTAAGTGACTCTGGCTTCCCCGTTGACTCCATAGGTTCTCAGAAGGTCGCAAAAGGGGACCCCGGGACGCTGTAACCGTCATAAATATGAGTCGGTTGCCAAGCGTCCGAGTTTTGATCACGTGCCCATGGGGATGCTAAAAATGGTGGTTGGTGTGAAAAACTTTCCTAACTCATTTTTTCCCCATTGCCGTTGTAACTTTGAACGGTCGTTAAATGAACAGTTGTAACTTGAGGACTACCTGTACTGTATGAAGTGAAAAGAAAGTCAAGAGAGGCAGGAGGAGTTTGCTGAAAATAAAAGACCACCCAGTGAAAATTGAAAAAAAAAACCCAACAACAATTATTTCTGCAAAAGGCCGCCAGAAATTCCTGTGGAAGGTAAAAAGATTTTGCAAAACAACCTTCTCTGATTTTTGATGGCAAAATTTATGCTGAAAAGCCTCAAGCTTCAACTTTCATCAATCTTCGGAACAAACATCTCAAAACAGCTGAATTTGAATCCAGAGCTTCCCACCCTGAAGGGGAACCAGAAGATATGGGGAACCCTAATTCACACTGATAGCTTCTGGAAGAAATCCCATACAGATAGTCCTCGGCTTTTGACCACAATTGAGCCCAAAATTTCTGTGGCTCAGTGGAGACATTGGCTACGTGAGATTTGTCCCATTTTACGACTTTTCCCTGCCCTGGTTGTTCAGTGAATCCCTGCAACTGAGAAGTTTATTAACCCGTTTGTCACATGTTGTCACATGACCTTGGGACACTGCAACTGTCATTAGTACATGCCAGTTGCCAAGCATTTGAATTCTGATCACGTGGCCATGGGGATGCTTGCAAAGGTTGCAACTTTGAAAAACACGCATGAAGTCACATTTTTCAACACTGTTGTAACTTTGAACGGTCGTTAAATGAACTGTTGTAAGTCGAGGACTACCTGCGCTGGAATTTCTATCCCCAATAACGTCTGCATGAACGTCATCCTAATTTCCACGATCACCGTATTTTTCGGAGTATAAGATGCACCTCCCTGCCCCCCAAAAAAGTGGGTGAAAATTTAGGTGCGCCTTATAGACAGAATACTCGCATTTTCGGCCTCCCAAAACCCTCCGCATGTCGCGTTTTCCCCCTCCCTGGCCCCCAGAAGCACACTTCAGGGCAAAAACAGGCACATTTTTGGCAAAAACAAGCCCACTTTTGCCAAAGATGGGCCATGTAAGGCACTGCAGTGTGTTTCTGGGGGCCTGGGAGGGCGGAAACACGACACGCGGAGGCCAAAACTTTTTTTTTTTCTTGTTTCCCTCCTGTAAATTTGGGTGCGTCTTATAATCCGGTGCGACTTATTAGTCAGAAAAATACGGTACAATTTATTGGAAATTGTCCAGCAAGAGAAAGGGGGGGGTTAATACGGATTCCGTTCTGCTTTCTCACAATTTTGAGGCTACGCTTCTTGTTTGCGATTGCGGCTGCTTTTACCCTTGAGATGTAGGAACTTCACATATTTCCACGCGTTAAAAAGCCAGGCACTTCTTTTTTTTTATTTCATAGGCCATGCGCAAAGCGAGCTTTTTTTTAGAAAAGGCATCGTGCTTTTTTTCAATGCTCTCTCACGGATAGACCCGCAGGCTCAAATCCTCTCTTGCTACAGAGCCATGCGATCGGTTAAGATTGCGAACCTGAAGACGCCAAGGGAGCGGCCCGGCTGGTGGGGATTGGCAGAGAGACGCTGGCGGCATTTAGGCCGAGGCTGCTGTGGGTGGTGCAGGCCAGGCTGGGGGCCGAAGAGGTGGCAGCCAGGGTGGCGGCAACTGAGAAAGTGTTGGAGGGCTGGAGGGCGGCTGCGTTCTCGACGCTGTTGTGCTGGAAAGGAAAAAGCAGAGGTGTGAGGTTAAAAACGGAAACGCAAGGACATACGACGCACAAGGAAGGTCATTGATGATCTCATGAGCTTGGTTTTCTTGCAGATGTTTCATGACCCAACTAGGTAACGTCAGCAGTGATGAAGGGAAGGGGTTGCGCTCTCTGTTTATGCCCCAAAGGTGCTTTTTCAGGAGGCAAACTGGGCTTTCTTTGTTTTTCTTTGAAGACGTTTCGGTTCTCGTGTAAGAAGCTTCTTCTGTTCTGACTGAAAAGTCCAGTTGCCTCTTGAAAAAGCACCTTTGGGACAACCATGACCGAGATGGCTAAGAATCTCTACAGCAGGGGGGGCAAACACAATGTCAACTCATTGTGTTGACATCATGTTGCCATGGTGAGGAAGAGGGGGAGCGCATTTCACGCATACCTTCGGCTAGAGTCGGAACTCAGATTTGCCACAGCAGGCTTGTGATATGTGCACCTCGTTGGTAAATGTGATTTATGACACAGACGGAAGGGAGGGAAGGAACGGGGGTAAAGAAGACAAGAAAAGCTCAGAAAGAAAGAAGACAAGCAAGCTCAGAGAACACCAGTAACCCCACAGTCCTCATGCTCCTCCTCCCCCTATCCACACATCCCACTCCTCATTAGCACTGATGATGTTACCTAGATGGGTAATGAAATGTCTACAAGAAAACAAGCAAGCTCAGACAACTCATAAATTCTTCTTTTAGACATTAAGCAGACAACCGTCTGGAGAGTGACAGAAAATCAGTTAAAGGTATCTAAAGGGGTAGATGAGAAATCGCTCTCAGGGAAAATAAATACCGATAAAGATGTTATGGCATTAGCATATTTTATGATTCAGGAGAGAAACTGCTCTTACTTCCCATTAGTTGGCTTCTATCTGTTGAGGCTGTGAATAAGTTAAGAATAAACCTGGAAGAGTGTAAACAATCATCATCTTCATTTAATGACCCCATAATCCCTTGTGGGGTGAAGTCGGAGCAACTGAATAGAGCTGAGTATGTTAATGGCCAGATGCCCTTCCTGTCGCCATTGCGGAGTTCGTGTTCAGCAGATATATGCTCAATGTGCCCAAAGAGAGATATATCTGCCTCTACCTAGGATCGAACTCACAGCCTCCTGATTGTGAGGCAAGAACTCCACCTCTAGGCCACCGCACCACTATGTGGGAGAGTGTAAACAATGCTGAAAACATATTAGCTCATCAAAAGGGGAATCCCCGATTCTTCCTTTCAAATACACGACTCAAACAGGCAAAGCAATTTATTTGTGTTGATCAGTGGAATGCTAAGCTGCTGTGCTAATCTAACTTTATTTCGTATTTGGTATTTTATTTATTTTGTCATGTTTATGTAAGTGGACGTTGGAAGGGGTGACCCTTTGAGAGCTTCTGTATGCCATGAAATTTCATTTTAATGCACGTCGATTAGTGGACATTCAAAGTGACAATAAAGTTATTCTAAGTCTCAGTACTATTTTTGCCTGTTTTAAAACAACACAACAGAAGTGTTTTAGTAACAACAGGGTTGTCCCTAAATCAGCAGGTGTCCAACCTTGGTGGCTTTAAGACTTGTGGACTTCCCACTGGCTGGGGAATTCTGGGAGTTGAAGTCCAAAGGTCTTAAAGCCACAGAGGTTGGATTCCCCCGTCCTAGAATGTAAGTTAATGTAAGTTAAAATGTAAGACATCACAAAGACCTGAGTTTTCTGTGAAATTAAACAGCATACTTCAAAAAGTTTCACTTAGAGACAGGACTCACCGTATGTGACGAGGCAGAAGAGAGGCTGCTTGGATGATCTGAGAGAGAACTGAGTAGAAACCAAAAACAAAAGTGATTTTACATTCAGTCCGTTCTTCTCTAAGCAACTCACAAAACATTCCAGTCGCTGAAATCTCTCAAAGTCAGCAATCATGGATGTAGAGTTGAAGAGGTTCAGAAGAAAACTTTGGAAGGAAACCACCACACAAAAAGTCTACCTGGCTGGGGAAAGCTTCAGCTGTTGAAGATTTGGGGGCTCAATGTTGCTGGACCGAGGCCTCCAAAGAATGAACGGATGGATGGATTTATTTTTATTATCATTATTATAAACAACTCAAGGTGTCGATCGCATTGTCCTTCCACCACCCCATTTCCCCCACAATCCTGTGAAGTGGATTGAGCCAAGCGTGAGCGAGCTTTCATGGCTACGGTGGTGGGAGTAGAACTCGGGATCTCCTGGTGATTGGTCCAAAGGCACCCAACCGGCTTTTGTGCCTAAGGTGGGACTAGAACTCACCATCTCCTCATGATTGGCCAAGTCGCTCAGCCAGCTTTCATGACTAAAGTGGGACTAGAACTCACTGTCTCCTGGTTTGCACCCCCCCCCATCTCCCTCCCAATCTGGGCCCTTTCTTGATGGATGTGCTTCCGATGCCAAAATTTCCCTAGCCACAGGGCGCTTCCCGTTGCTGGGGGTCCTGGGTGCCCCTAAGCTGAAGAAGCTGTTAAGGTCCTCTCCCTTGTTCTTGCCAACCAAAGTCAGGAGGCAGTTCGGATTCAACCTGAGCCTGAGCAGGATGGAACACTTTACCAATGAAATAATCTAACTTATCAGGATCTCCACGGCATTCTCTGTTCACACAGCTATTGGTGCAGTGGAATGGGGTCTGGATTCCCAGGAGGGAGGGGCCACATTCCAGAGGAGCACGAAATATAAACGCTTACATAGTTTGTGTGAGAGAAAGAGGATGGAGACAGCTCCTCCCTAATACTTCTCAGGGTTTATGCCTTATGGATGCTTTTTACTTTGGCAAGATTCTGTCTACAGGTGAGGAACAGTAAAGAAATCTGCTAAGAATAATCACCCCGTGTTTCTTGGTTTTGGGACCTTTCCTTCCTTCCTTCCTTCCTTCCTTCCTTCCTTCCTTTTCTCTTTTCTTTCTCCCTCCCCGTTACAAGAGCCGAGGTGGCGCAGTGGTTAGGGTGCAGTACTGCAGGCCACTTCAGCTGACTGTTATCTGCAGTTCAGCGGTTC